GGGACACCAATATTGGTAGAAATGAGCGAGAGATCGATCCCTCGACAACAACTGCCATGGATCGGATCTCAAGGAAGCTAGAAATTAGAGAGCAAAGTGGGGGAGAGAAACCATAAGAGCAAAGATTAAAGGGCAAAGTCTTGTGCCATACCCTGTCAAATGCCTTGGAGAAGTCGAGGGCCACGACGAAAGTTTCCCCATAATCACTAAGAGAGGATGACCAATGATGGGTGCAGTAGGAGAGCAGATCACCACTAGATCTCGCCTGGCAAAAGCTATACTGGTGATCCGACAAAAGAGAATAGCGGTCAAGGTGACGGAGAAAATGAGAGTTTAAGATAGTTTCGAAAATCTTAAAGAGGGATGAAGTTAGGGCAATGGGGCGATAGTTAGAGGGATTGGAATGGTCTCCCTTCTTCGGGATGGGCTGAACAGAGGCATGCTTCCAAGAAGAAGAAGCAGTTTGAGTCTTTAGGCAAAGGCGAAAGAGGCGAGCAAGCACAGGGGCCAGAACTTCAGCACACTCCCTCAGAACACGACGGGGCATTCCGTCCGGTCCATGCGTCCATGTGCCTTACTCACGTCCAACCTGGATAACACACCCGCAACCCTACGAGTGGAGATTATAGGAAAGTGCATACTGTAGGTTCAGTAGGAGGAGCAGGAATAGGAGGGATAGAGTTGGAATGGTCTATGGTGGAGTTAGAGGAGAATAAAGTGCCAAGGAGATTGGCTTTATCAGGGGGAGAGTTGGCTATAGAGTTATCAGATCGGAAGAAAGGAGGAAAAGAGGGAGTGCAGAAGTTATTACAGATGTTTTTTGTTAAAGACCAAAATGATTTACTAGAAGAAGAGTTAGTCAGGACAGCGGTCTTTCTTTTTACAAAATTCCGCTTGGGCCTACGAAGAATAGCCTTACAACGATTCCTAGAAGCAATGAAAGAGGAGTGGGTAATAGGAGAAGGAGATAGTTTCATAACACTCAATATATCAATGGTGAGTAAATGCATTAGAAACTGTAGGCTGGAAATTGATATAATTCATTCCATTAGATACAGTACAGTAAGTAAGTCTTCAGCTCAACTAATGATGGAACCTAAGCAAGATTCCGCTGGCCTTCTCTTAATTAGGGACGAAAACGACAGGAATTATGATCCGCTATATTCAGGGAGGAAGATGAAAGTGTTCCTCACCAAGTGTATTAATATATAAGTGAATAAATGCATCATGAAGTCAAATGCACCAATAAGTCAAATATATCAGTAAAGGGTTTACTGACCCACAAAATTAAGGAAGGATCCTCCACCACACAGAAGCTGGATCAGTGGCCGCCACACACTACAGTCAGACTTAAAAATACAACAAATAAATTAAACAAAAATCTTAATCGTTATAATTCATGAAATTTGTGCGTTACTCCAGCTACCAAGTGAATATTTAATACAGCTGACAGGGAGTAAATGTTAAGTGTTGTGTCACGTTAAATTTTTGTGTGATCACTAAACAGAGACCATTTTGTTTAGGTCCATTATGTACTCTTCACTTACGTTTGTGTTGAGTGCAACAAGTGGAATAAAAACTTTGATAAATGGGGAGATGATACTGGAGACCATGCAAATATGATAAAAGTAAGATAATAACAAAGGTAAGATTAAAACAGGTAAGAAAATACAGGTAAAACAATAACACAAGGAGAGGTAATAACACAGATAAGATTATAACAGGTAAGACTATTACACAGAAAAGATAATAAAAGAAGGATAGAAAATAACATAGATGAGTTAATAACAGACATATTATTATAACAGTTAAGATTATAACACATGTAAGGTAATAACATGGGGAGATTATAACACAGGCAAGGTAATAACACAAGGAGAGATTATAACATAGGCAAGGTAATAACACAGGAGAGATTATAACACAAGTAAGATAATACCAGAAGGAGAGATTATAACACAGGTAAGATTATATATATATATATATATATATATATATATATATATATATATATATATATATATATATATATATATATATATATATATATATATATATATATATATATATATATATATATATATATGCTGATAACCACAAGGAAGGAAGATGTGAATTACACGAAAGCGCTTGGGAACTTCGTGTTTTCTTCCTTCCTTGTGGTTATCAGCATACTGTACATGTATACCTACATAGATCACGCGCACCTACTGTACAGTGATTTTCTTGCATATATATATATATATATATATATATATATATATATATATATATATATATATATATATATATATATATATATATATATATATATATATAATCTTGCCTGTGATATAATATCTCCTTGTGTTATTACCTTTTCTGTGTTATAATCTCCCCCATGTTATTACCTTACCTTTTTATCGTGTATTTCAATTTATATGTTAACAGATTCCTCATTCCGCGAATCACCAGTCATATTGATGTGGCATCACTGACGTCTTATATTTTCCACCCTTCTTAAATCAGGTTTTCTGAAGGTAAACAAAAAATCTATATTTACATGTTCACATTTTTTATAAAAGAGTAAACTTGTTGTTCACAAATGAGAAGATTATATACACCAAATTCAGTGGCCGAAATGAATGGTATGTTTGTTTTGCTGGATTAAGGTCGTAAAGCCCCGATATTAATACGATTTGACGAGTGGTAGAAAATGGTGGAAAGTGCGGTTGTCTGTTAAAAAGTGAGAATGTTTGTCGAAAAGTATATTTACCGTTCAAAACATGCAGAAATGTGCCAAAATACAGTTATATGGCAGAAAAATACAGATGTGCCAAAAATGTACAAAAATGTTCCGAAAAGTGTATTTACGTCCCGAAACGTGCATAAATATGCTAAGAATATAGTCATATGCAACATAAATGAAAATAAGTACTAGAAAATACAGTGTTTTACTAAAGAGTGTTGGAATGTGCTGAATATTGTAGAAATGTGCTGACAAGTGTAGTAATGTGCTGAAATGTGTAGAAATGTGCTGAAAAGTGTAGAAATGTGCTGAATAGCGTAGACTTGTGCTGAAAAATGTACGGAAAACTGTGAAATTGTATCGACATGGGTAAATATAAGCCATCCAGGTCTGCTGTTTAATGGTTTGTTAAAATAATATAGTAAAATAACAACAGAAGAACAATGAAGAACAGAAAACAGAATTTTTCACCCCGATGGATACATAGTAAGGAAGGAAGACTATGACGTCACAACCAATCATGGACCACTGAGAGACAGCGAGAGATATATTACTTTGTCACACAAATAATAGATCAAAGGACCAAGTCATACTAATAATTTGTCGCCATTCTGGATTCACTGATAAAATAAAACCTATAATTACTTTTAGTTTGGTGTAATTCCTCCTATTTCGATAAAGCAATATTTCTCTTTCTCAAAGCTGTTGTAACTCCTATTTGACACAGCAGCAATAAAAATAAATAAAGAATGGATTAAGCCTATGACGTCAGAGGCCATAGTGCCTGGTCTTACAATAGGTAAACATATTATGTGTCGCTGCTGGTTCCATTAACCATGTGATGAACTAATTATCTCATTATTTCTAACGAGGAAACCAATTAGCCAGGTAAAGTCATTATACCTGAGCCCTGAGGGAGATCACTGTATTACTCCAGGCTGCACCACCTGCCCCTATACAGTATACTGTATGTGAAGTGCTGGTCAAATGGGCTATAGTCTTAATGGGCCTCAGTCTTAATGAGCCCCAGTTTTAATGGGCCCCTGTCTTATTGGGCCCCTAGTATTAATGGGTGTTAGTCTTAATGGGCTACAGTCTTAATGGGCTACGCGTTAATGGGTCCCAACATAAAGTAGCCAATAGTTTTGAGGACCCGTTTCAGTCGGTCCCAGTCTTAATGGGCCCAACTTTATCTCCTAATATTTTTCTATTTCTCTCCTTCCTCTTACTGATAGTTATCCAGACTTTGCTCACCGGCCACTCAGTGTTGGTTCAAGTCACAGGTTTTAGAAGTGGCTCATCAGTTCAGTAGTCAAATACTACACGGACTAGAGCCTTGTAATAGCTTATTTTCCTGTTAATGTTAAATGTTATATCAGCAGCAGGAAGGAGTCTCAAAAAAATTTCCTTCCGGACCAACGTCAAAGATCCTTAAGCAGTGTGGTAGCGGTTGCCTATATTGAGGCAATTCTCTTTTTGGTCGAAAACACTTCTTCTCTTGGGAATGGAAATTCATGAGTTTAACTATTTTAAGTATATCAAGAATAACGCAAAACACCTAAAATTACCAGCTAAAAATAACAGGTGACGAGTAATTATGGCTACATAACAGGTGAAATTTTTCCAAGAGTCATTAGGACACTAAACATAAAAGTACTGTAATTCACACTCACACTATCTCTCCAATAGCTCCTGAACAACTAGCAAATGGTACAATAGTGGCGTTCTTATTTCTAAACTCTACTTGTTTTCTTAGGTCATCCACATTGAGTTTTGTTTGAATTTTGTTGACATATTTGACATTAAAAATAAAAGATTGATAAAAAACAAAATTTATTGTTGTTATCGTTCCCTTTTAACATCAAAGGCAAAATAATGACACGGATAAGACAGTAACATAGATAAATGATAACACAGCAGGTAAGATTACATGCTTAATATGCTAACGAGTAAGATAACAAAGGTAGAATGATAACACAGGTAAGATAATAACACACTTAGTAACAAAAGTAAGATAACATTTTGCTAGATTCACCTGTAAAAGAGTTAATGATTCCTCCTCCTCCTCCTCCTCCTTTCACTTCCCTCCTCTTCCTCCTCCTCCTTTTACTCCTCATCCTCTTCCTCCTACTTCGTCCTCTTCTCCTACTCCTCCTACGTCTCTTCACCTCCTCCTCCTTCTATGTCTCTTCCCCTCCTACTTCTCCTCATCATGATTTAATAGCGGCTGGTAATATTCTCTCTATTCTTGATACACTTACTAATCTAACAGCCCCAGCCTCAGTTACAGTCTCCACCCCTACCCCCGTCCCGATCCCCGACCCCGCCCCAGCCTAAGCCCCAGCACCCGCCTTCGCCACAGCCGCTGCCCCCGCCCCTGTCACCGTCCCAGCCGTTGCCCCCGCCCCCGCCCCAGCCCTAGTCCCTCCCCCATCTCTGCCCCCACCTCCGACCCAGGCCTTGGTCTCGCCTCCAGTACAAGAAGTGGTACAACCTGCTGGAGCCCAAATGCGTAACCACTCATATGATCAACATACGAACTGACTTAATTAACGAGAAACAAATGCCCCTTCTTAAATTTATTCGGGAAGTGTTGTAACGAAACCATGTAAATTGTGGTGGATTAGGTTAGGTTAGGTTAGGATAGGTTAGGTTAGGTAATGTAACCTAACCTGACCTAACCTAGTCAGGTTAGGTTACATTACGTTAGCGTTAGGTTAGGTTAAATTAAGTTACATTACATTAGCATTACAGGGTAGGTTAGGTTAGGTTAGGTTAGGTCAGGTTACGTTACGTTACGTTACGTTACGTTAAGTTACGTTACTTTACGTTACGTTACCTTAGTGTTTGTGTGGTGAAATAAACAGGGGTATCTAATCTTACTGTGATAAAATTAATGTTACACGAAAAGCATTCATGTTGCCAGGAAGGCGTTCGTAGTCCTGGCCAAGAGTAACCTCAGCATCCAAAATTCTGGCTCTCTGGAAATCTAGTTACCTAAAAATCTGGTTCAATAAAAATTTAGTTCACTAAAAAATCGGGTTATCTAAAAATTGGTGTTATCTAAAAAAATATTATCTAAATGGCTTCTGTGTCTCAAATTTCCCCGCCAAAATTACCGAAGATTACCTTTTTTGGGGGGGGGGGGGATGGTGGCAAAAATTATAAAAAAAAAGTTGACCCATTATGATAATTTGTCCTTTTTCGAATAAGAATACCATATTTAAAACAATCGTATGGAATAATTGCTGATATATTGAGGTACGTGTTTTGTGAGTTGTCTTACCTACTTGATCATGGTGTGTGTGTGTGTGTGTGTGTGTGTAATAATAATAATAATAATAATAAACGGTTTATTAATAGAGTTGCAGCCGGTGGCTGAAAATATACAGACTTACATTTGATTTAGACATAATGATATAATATGCATTGAAAACATTTACAGGGCTGTACAGTACATAAATCAGGAGTTGTTTATTATTTTAACAATAGGTGGGATGGTGCTGTTCTTATATCTATCGGTGAGGGCTCTTATGGGCTGAATTTTGTTGTAGTGGCGGACTGTGCGAGTTGGGTGGGGGGCTGCAGGTGGCAGGAGGTGGCGATGGCGAGGGTGGTGCAGTAGTCCACGGCCAAACCTTTCCAGTGCTTGGTGGTGGAGGACACTGAGGGATGGCATTTCCAGGGTGGAGAGAGCGTTGGTGTAGCCGGAGCATTCTGCGCCGAACATGATTCTGCAGGCCCTTTTCTGTACCTTCTCTAGCTGACGTTGTTGGGTGGAGTTGAGAGAAGACGACCAGGCTAGTGATGCATACGTTAGTTTGGGGAGAATAAAGGCATTGTAGATGGTCCTCAGCTCTGGCGTGGGTGTTCCAAGTGACCTAAGTCTTCGTAGCATGTAGAGACGGTACAAAGCTGCCTTGACTGCGTTATTTACATGGGCCTTCCAGTCAAGTTTGTTGTCTATAGTTACACCCAGGAGTTTGGCAGACTGCACCAGCTGGAGAGGATGGGCACCCACTGTGACTGCTGGGGCTTGCACTGGAGTGGTGGCGGTATTGATGTGCATGATTACGATTTTGGTGTGGTTGATGGTGACCTTGTTCTCCGTAGTCCATGCCTGTAGCCTGTCCAGGGTGCCTTGGAGCGATGAGTAGTCTGGTGCGGTGTTGTCCACTGAAACCCCCACAGTGCAGTCATCCACATACTTCCACCTGTGAGGAGTGTCCGATAGAGCGTCGTTGATGAGGATGAGGAAGCACAGTGGTCCCATCTTGGTCCCCTGGGGAACACCGCAGGTGAGGTGTTGGAATGTAGAGACCAAGCCGTGATACCTCACTGCTTGGCGACGTCCACTCAAGAAATCAGTGAGTCATGAGACCAGGTTGGTGGGCAGCCCTAGTGCAATAGCCTTGTTGATAACAGTGCAGTGATCAACAAGGTCAAAGGCCTTCCTGAAGTCCACAAGGGCAACGGCCAGTGATGTCTTACGTTTCTGTAAGTTTTTGTGCAGAAAATCCAGAAAGCTCACCAAGCAGTGTGATGTAGAGGAGGTCCTCATATTGCCAAATTGCTGTGAATCAATTGACTGATAGATACTGGCAAATGCCCACTCAAAAACAAAGTCCTCACAAAGTAGACTGGGTATGGGGACTGTGGGGTGGTGACCTTGGGGATGGGGGTGACAAATGCGGTTTTCTATTCATTAGGGCATTTGCTTTGTCTGAGGGATGCATTAATAATAGAACAGGGGGGGTGGCAAGTCCGACTGCAAACTCCTTGTATATTTTGATTGGGAGGTCAATTGGGGTCGTGGAGTGTTTGGATTTGAATTTCAGGAGTTTGTTGGCGATTTCATATGGTTGGACACTGGGAGGGTGGGAGGGGGAAGGTAAGTAAGCTGGGAGGAGAGTGAGGTCAAGACTGGGTAGCAAAATGGTTATTAATTATCTCAGCTGCCTCCTCACTAGGTAAATGTGAGATGAAAGGCAGTGTGGGAGACTGACGGTTGAGACCACAGAGATCTTTTACCTTGATGTACCACTGACCGATGCCGACTTCCTTGAGGCCGTGCACTTTCCTGGGATAATAAGTCTCCTTGGCAGACTTGATTTCCCTGATGACCTGGTTACGTAGACTTTTGTACAGGCGGTTGTTGGTGTAATATGCCTTGTTGCGCTGTTCAATAAGTCTTTTTATGCGGGGCGTAATCCACGGGACATCATCGGGGTGGATCCTCAGTGTTTTGTCCGGAAAGAAGTGGTGGTAGGCTTTGGTGATAGTGTCCAGGTAATTATCCCATTTGTTCTGCACATCGTCTACGGTGATCACTTCAGTCCAGGGATACCGGGTTATCCATTGTCCAAAACGCCGCATAGCAGAGTCGGGGGTGGGTCGGTAAGTTCTGGTGGCAACTGACGGTGGTGAGAAGGTGGGGGTAGGTGACCACAGCAGGGACAAGTGTGGGCTGCGTCCCATGGGAGGCAGCGGCTCGGGGGGAATGTAGTGGTTACCGAGATCAGTCGTAATGAGGTCAAGGGTGGCATTGCCATGTGTGGGAAAGTCTACTATTTGTGTAAGGTGGAGGTGTTGGGTGATGTCACTGATGTCTAACTCATTGAAGTCACCGCATATCACTAGTTTAGCACATGGAAATCTGGATCTCAAGGAGTCAGCAGTGTGTGTGTGTGTGTGTGTTTGTCATCGTGTGTGCATATTATAATGATGATGATGATGATTTATTGAAAGAGCATGGAGGCCAAAAGGCTAAAAATATACTGGTACATAATTAGGGAATGAGAGGGGAGAAGGTCATATGACAGGGTATTTCACCATGGTAACAATGCAAAAGTAATATTGGCTAGGCGTGAACACACTGGTTAATTACGAGTTGTTGATAATTTTTACAATGGTTGGGATTAGGTTGTTCTTATAGCGAACATTACGTCCTCGTATGGGCTGGATGGGGTTGTAGCGCGCGCGCGCGCGCGCCTGTGTGTGTGTGTGTGTGTGTGTGTGTGAGTTAATTATTATAAGATAAAAAAACAATAAATTTGTTTTTCAATCAGATGAAAAAAAGAAAAAACATTAAAATGAAAAAGTCTTTAATATTACCAGTTCAGATATTCATGATATGCTAAATACTTAAAACCAGAAAAATTAATAAGGTCTTTGTTCAGTAAAATCAAGTGGGGGGGAAAAAAAGGTCTTCATCAGGGCGGACTGTGACGTATGGAGAATAATAAAGAGGTCCTACACAGCTGGTCTTGAAAGCCTCTCCTACATAATAGAGAACTCAGACAGGGACTAATGTTTCCTCACCTATGAACCTTAACACTCTCTCCTGGGTGATATATGTTATGCCATCGTGTCCCGTCTCTCTTTCTTTTTCTCTTTCCGTTTTTGTCTCTCTCTATATCTCTGTCTATCTCTTATTTTTCATTTCTCTCTTTTCTCTCTCTTTATTTTTTATTTTTCATTTTTTCTCTCTTCACACACACACACACACACACACACACACACACACACACACACACATACTACTACTTTGCTGTCACTCGGAATCGAGTATGACGATCATCCAGCTATGATACAATGATATGAGTTATAAAGAATGTCACCTCGGTTAGTGAGTTTTAAGGTGACTAAAGAGGCAGATACGGGACCGACAAAGTCGTTTGCAGATGTTGCACATGCGGATGGCTCCATCTAGTGCGGGAGGGACGGCTGCAGCGTCTTTCCGGCACTGGCGCTCGTCTGCCTCGGTTTGCACTCGGGCTAATTCGAAAGTATTGACTCCTCGTGTGGAGATCCTCCAAGCGTTACGGTATGGAGTGATCGTCTCTCATGTGAGGGGGTCGATTTGGCACTTTTTCAGGTTTGTCTTAAGATTATCTTTATACCTTTTCAGTTGTCCGCCAGCGTTACGTTTACTATTCGTGTGATGACTGTAAAGCAGTTGCTGTGGCAGTCTACTGTCGTCCATGCGGGTAACATGGCCAGTCCAACGTAGTTGTTCATGGATAATGGTAGCCTCGATGCTCCTAGAGTTGGTGTCATTGAGACTACTGGCATTCGGTCTCTTGTCTTCCCAGCGAACTCGGACGATGGGACGTGGACTACGTTGGTGAAAGTTTTCAAGTGCCTTGAGATGCCTCCTGTATGTAACACATGTCTCACTGCCATATAGCGGAGTGAGGAGGACCACTGTTCGATATACGTACAATTTTGTAGATGATTTCAGCTCCCTACAGCTGAAGACACGGGAACGGAGATCTACCAAAGGCTTGAGATATCCGCAGTGCAGGTAGACAGGTGGGAGACGAGATATTGAAAGTGGGTAACATTAGAAAGGTTAGTACCCTTAAGCTGGATGGATGATGGAGGTGTGGCTGAACCAGGGGCAGGTTGAAAGAGAATCTG